ATTGGGATCAGCACCTTCACTTTGGTGTCTGTGTTGTTTCTCCACCCCCCTTTCGCCGACTCCTCACCATCCGTTCGTCTCCTGAGACCCCCTGTTGGAGCTGGTCTCCGACAACCATGTCACTGCAGAGAAGATCTAAATACAGGCATACCATAAGGGTTTCTTGTGCAGTCCTTCTACCAGGTTATATGTGATACAATGAATGAAGTGGGCTTCTTCAGTGGAAGAGGCCACTGGTAAGCACATCCTTAGAGTGGTTCTTAATTATTCCCAGCTTGTTTGCTAAACAGAAGATTTTATCCATTAAGCAACAATTTTCATGATCCTATGATAATTCAAAGACCTTGAACCAAATGCATAGATGCTTATTGTCTTCAATGTATGGAGCATATGGGAGCTTTACAAAGCTTATTTTAAAAAAATGTGTTGTAGTTGTAAGGTAGGGGGCAGCCAAAGCCCCACTTGTAAGTGAGGGAGGGAGAATCAAAGGAGAAAACAGATGGCTCAGGTGCCGGGGAGTGTCTGTGTCTCCAATGCGTTATGCGCCACTAGAATGGACGCTCTGTGGAAGACAGGCTTTCTAGTGCCCATTGCTGTATCCTCAGTGCTTGGAAAATGCAGCATGTACTAGAGAGTTAATAAATTATATTTATGTGAATAAATAGTGAATATGTGACTTACACAGAAATGAAATTGAGATTTGGTACTAAATGGTGCTTGGAGGAGTGAGTTGGTTATTAAATGAATATTCTGGTGTTATTCTTGGTATTGATTCTGGAAGCCCCTCATTAGTTCCTGGTCCCACRTGGCCTGTCCACACTGAGGGAAGCATGGGATTCTGAAGGCAGGAGGAGGGGGCTTCTAGGGAGTCAGCTAGGCCGGGAGTGGGAAGAAGTAGATGCCAGAAGTAACCTCTCACACACGCCTGCTCATGTGCACACACGTGTACACACACACACACACACACATGCACACAGCCTGCGTAGCCTGCGCTTCACCCTGCCTCTGCTGGTTTGTCATGATTTCAGCCTCTACTTTTTAAAATTTTTTATTTGTTCTTCTTAGTTACATGTGACAGTAGGATATTTGACACATTATACATACGTGGAGTATGGCTTTCAGCCTCTATTTTGGTGCCCTCTTTCAATGGTGAATTYCTCTCAGTCCCTCACCTGCCAGAGTGAACCTTCGGTGTCTTTGGCCACTGCAGTCGCTTCTGCTGGCCTAACTCTCCAGCTCCTTTATACACTTTTCCTGTAGCTCTGAAGAAAGGTCATTTTGTTAYTTGAATTTAATGGTGTGAATGAAATATGATGAGAAGAGTTTGATAGATTGATTCAAACTCCGATATTGACCAAAGGGGCTTGGATCACAAGATATGAGCTCACATACTCTTCATGTGGAAGCATTGTTTTCTTGTCAGATATTTTGGTCACAGTGAAGCAAAAGCTAACTAATGCAGAAATTTAGAGGACAAAAAGTTTATCTGAGGCTCACAGTTTCAGAGGTCTCAGTCCATAGAGGACCACCTCCATTGCTCTGGGTCTGAGGCAAGAAGCTGCTCACCCCTTGGCAGCAAAGAAGCAGGGGGCAATGGGAAGGGGCCTTAGGAAAGACCACGCCCCAGTGACTCGTTCTGCAGTCACTCCCCACCCGCCTACAGTTACCACCCAGTCCATTCAGTGTGGACTGATTAGGTTACAGCTCACACAATCCAGTCATTTCACCTCTGAACATTCTAGCATTATCTCACATGAGCTTGTGACACCTCATATCCAAACCATGACACATGGCTCTGTGTCTGAACTATATCATGCAGTGAGGCTCTCAGCTCTGCCCTGCAGAAGGCTCAGAGAGGAGGGAGGTGGACAGCACATAACAACAAAGCAGAGTGGTCATCCTCTAGGAGAGGGACCTCAGAGGCCCAGTGGAGCCAAAGAAGACAGCGGTAACTCCCAAATGGGGAGGCTGACCATGAAGGGTGCTGCAAAGAGATGCAGAAACTAAGTCTTGAAGGCCGAATGGGAGCTGGGTGCATGCATGTGCGTGGTGGGGTGCAGCGTGAGCATTGCACACGGCATCCCRGGGAGAGGTGCTGGGAAGAGTGGAGTTGACACAGCAAGCCGTCCACAGCACTGGGAGCAAAAATGTTGCTGATGGTTGAATAAGAAACCATCAGAGCATCCAGCAGACTCTAAAGTCTTGTTCCTCAAAGTGAGATGTGGTGACCGGCACCACCTGTGAGCACATGAGGAACKCAGGTCCTAGGGCCCTCCCCACCCTGAACCAGAGTGGCCCCTCAGCTGGACCTCCAGGCAACTTGCATTGTGCTCATGTTGAAAATGCAGAACGGTCCTTATGGGAGGTGGGTCCTCTGTTGGAGGAGTCTGGGCACTTGTCAAAAGGGAAAACAGGGGCTGGGGTTGTGGCTCAGTGGCAGAGTGCTTGCCTCACATGTGTGAGGCGCTGGGTTCGATTATCGGCACCACATATAAATAAATGAATAAAATAAAGGCCCATCAACACTAAAAAAATATTTTTTTTTTAAAAAAAGGGAAACCAATTCTTGAACCACATAATCCTCTCTGTTTTCCACCCCAGGCATGCGCCAAGGCCACGACCATGGCACCCAGTACCGCTCGGCAATCTACCCATCCTCTGCTGCGCAGATGGAGGCAGCCCTGCGGTCCAAGGAGGACTATCAGAAGGTAGGCCCCCTCACCTGCCGCCACCCTGACTCGGGCAGCCCCAAGGGCMGAGGGAGATGGGTTCCTTTCATCTGGAACTGTGTTCCGTTTTGAACAGCTTTTACCTGTAAATTGTCTCTTCTCGGGTCCTTTTTCATTTAGACCTTTATTCCCTGGACATGTGTGGTTGTGGTCATGCAGGGGGCCGCCAACATCCAACTGCCCAATTCACATGTTGTCCGTGTGACTTAATAATCATGTGCCTGAATCTTAGAAATCATGTGCAAGAGAGAGTTTCCGTACGAGGCTTAGGTGCCGGTGATCCAGCGCACCTGCAGCTGCGTAGTGGTGGTGACGGTACTAGGATAGCAACGGCCAACTGGCCGGATGTTGGCTACAGGCTGATTACTGTTTGAGGTATTTATAAGTGAAGGTATTTCATAAATCTCTCATTGCACCTTTCTATATAGACACATAGATATGCTTAGAGGTAGGTGTATCTCTCAGTATCTTCACATAAACTTGTATGCAGTCATCTATTTCTGAGATCCTTATTTCTAGTTTTGATACATATGAATTTCTAACTTGATAATTGATTTCTAGTTTGATACATATGAATTTCCTTGGTATAATTTCCTAGGTATAATATACATACCAAACAATCAAAAATTTGCCTGTGAAAGGTGAAATGGTGAGCTTTTATGCCATAAAGTAGTCCATCTTTTCTTTCATATTTACCTTAGAACATATTTTCGAAACWGGGAGCCTCAAAGTAGGGGAGACGTGGTTTTCACCGTCGGCTTCCCAGCTGACTGAGGAGGCAGTGTCTGGGCAGGTGACCAGGACTGGCCCTCCTCAGCTGTATGCTGAGATTTATTCCTAAGAGCGGGGGGATTCTGCCAACCTCCCGTTCCATTCACTTTGTTTCCCGTTCTCCCTCTTCAAGGTTGGTGTTTAGTCCGTGTCACTGCATTCTGTGGCTGCATCTAATGTGAGCCTGGTGGGACCCCATGCGCCAGCTGTGACACGACTTAGGTTACTAAGTGTAATGGTYGTCACTGGTTGCCCCCAGCGACCCCTAGCAACCAGCTTCTTCAGCAACTTCTTTATGTGTGAAATTTAGAGTGACAGTATTGCTTACCACAGAGCAGCCATTTGGACATAAAATTAGCTGATTTTATCACAGGGACCAATTGTTCAGCTAATTAGATGTGCAGTGCCGCTGAGGGGCCAGAAACCAAAAGTGATCTTCCATCTAAACTGTGGTTTTCTGCAAAGCTGGCTGGGCYGTGGATCCCGGCTCGCGCGCGACCGAGGGAAGGAGGATGGCTGAGAGGTTTGCTGATTTCCTGCCASACTGGAGGGGCAGGAGGACCTCAGGAGAAGGACCACCTTGAGGAGTGAAATTGGAACTTCACACTGGGTGTGCTGGCCCTGAACCGCAGGGTTATTCTCTCGGAGCTTGMCAGCTAACTGCTGTGGGGGTGTTCTTGCCCTTTGAGGAAGTCTTTGTAACCTCTCCTCTTCTTCATATTTAAAATTTTTCCTTAGAGAATTTCACAGAAGTATTATTTGCTTATAACATTGATTAGAAGATATGATCAAATGTATTACCATTATTTTTAAATATCAAACGTGGACAATTGACCTGCCAAGTAAGCCTGTGAGACATCTCTGGCATCCTAAACTGAAGCAGGCCTGATATGGGTGGGGTGGTCCACATGGGATTCTCTTATCCTGAAAACGTGGCTCTTCCTCACTTAGGAATTAAATCTTTTGACCACTGAGAGATTATGTGTCTTCAAATGTGAATGTCAATTAACAAATATAAAGCTAGCTCTCTGGGCCATAGGACCTAACTTCTTCCCAACTCCTCAAGRTCTGTGAGCAGAAAATGCAATTCTTCTGAATATTTCTTTTATTAAAAGSGAGAAGAAAAGCAGAGTTTTCCTTTGTACATGTTGTACAACATACTGAGTCCTTTTTTTTGGCGGGGGTGGGGGGGTGGGGGGGGTACTGGTGATTGAACCCAGGGGGTGCTTAACACGGAGCCACATCCTCAGCCCTTTTTATTTTTTATTCTGAGAGAGGGTCTTACTAAGTTGCTTAGGGTCTCACTAAGTTTCTGAGGCTGACTTTGAATTGTGAGCCTCCTGCCTCAGCCTCCCTAATCACTTGGATCACAAGTATGCACCACTGTGCCCAGCCATATTAAGTCTTAATAAGACCAGTACATTTCTGGATGGAGCAAATGCCAAATTACCCACTATATTTCAAATATAAAAAGTGTTGCAAAATCTGTCTCTATCAGTCTTTCTGTTCAGCCATGCACCCATCCATCTACCCACCCATCCATCACCCACGTGACTGCTCAACTCACGTCAGGGTCAGGAAGGAGAGAGAGAGGAGGAGGTGGCGGGAAGGGACCCTAGGGAAGGACACACCCCCAGTGACCCACACCCCTCCTGCCTACAGCTGCCACCCAGTCAGCCCACTCAGACTAGGAAGGACTGACTGGGGGACAGCTGTAATAACCTAACCATTTGCCTCTGAATATTCCCGCATTRATGTGAGCTCTGGGGATCCCTCGTATCCAAGCCAAAGTAAAGACCGTTATTTATGATGTTCACTGAAGCAATTAATTTTTGCTTCTTGTAACTCAAACATGTAGCTTAAGTGTCATATCTCACCAATGACACTCATGTCTGTGGTCCACACCACCCACAGGGCTCACTCCCCATCCGTGGGTGCCTCCTTGTTATTTCCACTTCCTCTTCAACAGTATATCTGAAGGCACCTTCAACACAGCTCAAGGCCCCTGTGTTCCTCCTCTGCCTGCCCCCAACAGCCTTCCCTATGAATCGCCCCCCTCCGTGCCTGTCACTCACCCTCACGGCCAGTTGGCCACATTAACCCAGATTCCACCTCTCAGCTCCATCTCTAGTTCCCCTGCTTCTCTTTCATTGTCATGTTCATATCCTACCTTAGGCCACCGTGATCTGTTCCCGGGCCACGGAGCCTCTCCTCTCTCCGTGACTGTGACTGCCCACACAGGACAGCAGAGGTGGCCTTCTTAAATACAACGGGAACATGCCCTTCCCTGTGCCCAACTTGTTCCTGCCTTCCCTGTTGTGTTTGGAGTGAAATCCAAAGCCCTTTGCAGGGTCTACCAGGTCCTGCAGTCATCATGCCATCTTCCCATGAGACATCTGTAACTGTCATCAGAGTGCCTAAATAGCGTGGCATATCTGAGATGTGACAAATAGTTCTTGCCCAAAGATCAAGCACTTCTAGGGGCCTCGATGAGAACCACAGGCGCTCAAGAACTTGTGAACACCATGTAGAATTATTCCAGGTTTCCTTATATTCCAAGGTGAATTCCTGTGTGGACCCGCTGTTGCCATAGAGACCAAATCTWCAGGTTGTGGAGTTCTGCTGGACTAGGGGTGTTGACGCCAGGAGGAGCAGACTCTCTCCTGCACCCCGGTGCTCCTGAGCCCAGAGCAGGCTCTCCTGACCCCGGGGAGTGCCAGGGTTGCGATTGTACCCTGATACTTGCTGGGATGAAGTCAGACATGGGCCTAGAAAACCACCTCCCTTTCCTAATTTTTGCCATCCCTGACTTGTCACCCCATATTAGTCCCTGATGGCTGTTGTAACCAATTGCCACAAACCTGGTGACTCACATCCACAAGAGTTTATTCTCTCACAGTTCTGGAGGACACAAATCCAGAAGCCGACTCCCTGAGCTCCAATCACTGTGCGGGCTGGGCCGAGCTCCCGCTAGAGGCGCAGCCGCGAACCCTTCCTTGTGGCCCAGTTTCTGGTGGGGCAGACACCCTGTGGCCTGGGACCTCGTCACTCCAGTCTCTGCCTCTGTGGTCACGTTGCCTCCTCCTCCTCTGGTGCGAATCCCTTTCTGCCTCTCTCTGATATGAGGGCAGTCGTGGTTGGCTTTAGCACCCCCTGCCAGGTAACCCAGGACAAGCCCCATCTCGAGGCCCTTAGTCACGTCTGTGGAATCTGTGCCCCATAAAGCAAGATTCACAGGTTTCAGGGATCGGGACGTGGACACTGGGGAGGACCACTGTTCAGAGTACCACAGTGCCCCAGGACTGCTTTCCCACCTGCCACAGTCCCCTGTCCTCCCCCGAAGGGGAGATTGAGGCTGGGGCTCTTCCTGGCACTGTTCAGGAGGGTGTGCCCCGCTCACCAGGCAGGAGCCCATCTGGCTGGCTCCGAATCCCAGGCCRCACTCTCCAGTTCCCTGGAGAGGACAGACTTGCTTTCCTCCTCCTTGAGATCCTTGTCTYGTTTAAAGGGAGGTGGAAATTTGTATAAACTTATCCCTTTTCAAACATTTCTGTCTTCCAAAAGGACCTGACTTGACTCCTATACCATTTACTAAAGTAGCATGCTGAAATCACAACAGTAAAAAATCCTTAGGGCTTGGAGGATGTTTGGGAAAGGAAAGGAGAAAAGGCTTTCTGTGTCTGTGTGTGGAGGGGAGAGATCACTTGACTTTTAGACAACTGGCTTGGCAAGAGTATCCCATGCTCTCTCTTGGTCTCTCTATTTGAGCCATGAGTTAATTTCTCTCATCAGAGAAATGAGTTGATTTCTCTGAGTCAGACCACTGCCTTGACCCACCTTAACTGAGTGTGGATAACAAAACTTCCCTGTAGGTTCATTATAAGAATTAAATGAGATTTTATATGTCTGTATCTATATCTGTACACTGGCTTGCAGTAGTAATCAATATATATTAATCAAAGTTGAGCCCCTTTAGTTTTCTGATCCAGAAATTAGTTTTAATTATGCCAACAGATTTGAGATGAAGCGAGTCTACTCGATGAATCGTCCTGCTATAGCTGGACCTGTCTCCCCACCAGGAGGAACACGTAGGACCCCTGTGTTTCCTGAGCTTCTGTAGAACATGTCCTTCTTGCCCTCCCCCATCTTCCTCAGTACATTAGTAATTACCTGATCAAATATTAATTATGTACTGATTAGTTGCCAGA